TCATTAAACTTTCCATGATATTTGTAATTTACATATTAATTCATATCAAAAACTCTGTTTCCTACCTATATCGCAATCCTCTCATATGATAAGACTAAGGTCTATTTTTGTAGTGAATCCTCATTAAAAGTTTTTGGGAGTTGTTTGTGAATAATAATAAAAGAAATCGAAATCTTTCAAAAGACTCAAAAGTAATATCATATCAAAGAATCAACTTTATCTACATTTCCAAGACTGAAAGGCAATCTCACATGAGAGAATGGTAACATGCTAACGTGCTCTACCACTATAATATAGTCTATATTTCCTTGCAGTCTATTTCTCTAGACATTTGACATGTGTAGAAAAGAATATATATGTAGCAAAGTAGGATTTCATCATAATGATAGAGCATGTGTATACATGATAATCTAAAATTTTAGACTCTCTTATATTTACAAGCAAGCTATGATTATGAAGCCCCATTTCCAAGACTAACATTTAAAGAATCTAAGTATTGTCAGTGTCATAATAAATAAACCTCATTCCCAAGACTAAAACTTGGTATATAAACTATCTAGAAAATTTATAATCATCGTAGTTTTTTTGTTTTCCTTGAGCTCCTTGGAATTTTGTATTGAAATAGCTCGAAGGAAAGTCATTGTTATTTGTACTTGGCCCCCTAGCATTTCATATCAATCTCCATCCCCAAATTCTACCAACATTCTACCTTCACCTTCACATAACAATCTTTTTTTTGCTGAGGGCTCTAGTAAAGCTAAATTAGAGCTCCCTATATATAAAATTCTGGATTTTTCTACTAGAGAGGGATTGCCTCTAGTGTTTCAAGAGTAATGTCACATATTTTTGCAAGATCTTGCTTCTGATATGGTAGGACTACTTAAAAGCACAGAATGTTATTACATTCGGTGTTCAATATGCTACTTTTTCTTGGATAAGACAAATGGCTCTATAAGTTTATAAATTTTTCTTGAGCACTGTAGCAATTGCTTAATGGTGGGTCTGGAAAATATGCACATGTGGATGTACAATAGATTCAAGAATGAGTTACAAACACATACCCACTATCACTTCATTGAAGCTCTATTTCGTTAAAGTGGGAATTGTCATTATCCCACTTGTAAAATAAGGTTTCCAAACCTTTATATAGTATATAAATATAACAAAATTCAACTGCATTGAGGCACATGCCATTTTATTTTAAACAAGGAAATGTCTACTCAATCACTTCTCACTGCTTCACCTCTCTCTTCTCCTTGTCATCGTCGTCCAATTTCTTTCCATCCTTTTAATATTGGCTCAGCTGCTCCGAGTCTAGGTGGAGCCCAAGTCCCCATTCAATCTTTACTTTCCCCTTATTAATAAAACAACTTCGTAGACTTCCAATAACATGCTGTAACACTTCTAGTATAATGCAAATCCTCTCAAAGAATTGTCTTTTAATATTAATACAATGGCATGGAACCCCATGCCATAATAAGTTACATTTTTAAATAAATACATGCCATCTCAGACTGTTATTTTTTGCCTCCAACGCCTATACAATAATCTTGGAATTTCATCACTCTCCACACTATCAGGATTTAAACCCAATAGTAATGCCATCTCTTCTCTAATACGTCCACGCTCATGTTCAGTGGTCGAAGAACCCATCCGGTTGAGCAGATTATGGAGATGCGGATAGTGCTTGGCTAGACAATATACATGCCATAAATGATGACTGGTGTCTGTCCGATCAAATGGCTTCTGATATACCGTTCCATCTGCCATTTGGTTGATTTCTGCAGCCACCTCCTGGACTGGCCGGTTCTCTATCACCATCGCTTCAAGCCGTTTTGCAAGGTCCCCCAGAACATACGGTTTCTTCTCCCTAGTTTCCATACTGCAAGAGATGGGGTGCACTGCATATGTGTGCGTGTTCGCTGCAGTTTTAATCGGCGAGTCATCGATGATGAGGATTTCACTTGACCTAGTAGTCCGGTTCATCACTACAGCCTCTGCCTTGACGAAGATGGGCTTGCTACCCCTCACATGGACCATAGTCAAGCAATCCTCCTGCGTTAGGAGAAAGTCAAATGGTAATATTACTCGCGTCTGATCGTGCATCATCTGTAGCAACGTTAATGCATTGTGGCGCATCATGGATGTCCAAACT